TTTTCTGCAGATGGCTTTTTTTCTCTAATTTCTCATGTGCAGTGTGCATCTAGTTTCATAAACCAGGCCCATGGCTGTTTTAGCAAGCTTGCTTCTTCTCTAGCAACTAGGCCACTGCCACACTCCTCCCCTTATGTTTTATTGTGGATGCTCCACCTTTCGCTTCTCATCTCATCTGTCTCTCTCCATTAAACACGCCAACGATCAGAGAAGCATCTGGAGATGCATCTTTAAGCTTTAATACACTTTGAATAATTAACACACGTATGTGCGCGCGCACACACACACACACACACACACACACACACACACACACACACACACACACACACACAGCTGAGTCTATCAGTGGCAGGCTGCTCCCCGAGCCAGAGAAACTCAGAGGGAGAAGGGAAGCTTGCTCTGTGCCAGCCCCAGCCCCAGAGTCTCTGAGCTGGGCAACTCAGAGCTATGTACCAGCCTGAGATCCAGAAACCAGCAACAATGGAACGACAGCTGTAACTCTGACACCCGTAGCTGAAAGACACAAAGAGAGCGTGTCTGGCTCCTGCTAATTGACTTGTTGAGGGAATAAGGAGTGGGTGAACACGAGGAAGCTCACTGGGTTAGAGATCAAAAAGGGGAAACCCATATGGAGATGAATGGTGAGATGCACGGCGTGGCTTGAGCAGTTCGAGAGACGATGGCTCGTGGGGGTGTGTGGGTACCTGCATACAAGCATGCCTGCGCTGGTGTTTCCCCGCAGCAGCGAGGTGCCTTGACAGAAACATACGACCATCTAACCAACTCACTCATCACGGTGATTGATCCTCTAATTAGCAGCACGAAGGCTAACGCTGATCCACATATCTATATTCACCTTCTGTACATCTGGAGCCCAACGCAGCCTGCTAATGATTATCAATGAGGCGAGACTACAAAGCCAGCGGTTCAATCCCCTGCGCTGCAGCAATGCATCATGGACCTTCTGTATTCCACTGACTGTAAGGAGGTCAGTTTACCAGGAAGAGATGGAGAGGAGGGAAGGGAGGAGGAGGCGGAGGGGGGAGAAACATTTGATAAGGGATGAATGGGACAAAAGGAAGAAAAAGGAAGAGGACTGAAAGGAGGGCGAGGTGAGGTGAAAGTGGACGAAGAACAGGCAGAGCTGTGAGGTGCACTTTCACTTATTGAAAAGGTCAGCGCCTCGATAGTTAAACTGTTTCAGAGCAGCTGATGCGGAACAAGCACTGGCTCATAATGAGCATTTCTTTCCACAGATTCAGATGACTTCACTCAGGCAGTGTCTTCATGAATAAATCAGACCTAAATAAATACCCACTATAAGCTGCACTTTCCTAAAATAGGAATGAATAAATAGAGAAAAAAGGTCTAAAAAAAAAAAATCAGCACCTCAACATGTTGACACATAAAGAACGATGTGATGCAGCCTGAGTACGTGAAACAGGTGTAGCGCTGCATTAACAAACGCAGGGGCTACTTTGGTGGCGACACGTTGCTTCAGGTACCAGTGAGACGCTTAAATCCAGGAAGGCCACTCTGAGGAAAGATACACAGGTTTTAAGGCTTACCAGACTCCAAAACACTGCGAGGTTTATAAGACTAGGGGAAGGCTTTACAGCTCTGGAGAGCTTTCACTGTGACAATCATTATATTCTCCATCTCCACCAGGCCAGAATCCATAGTAACGAGGTCCATAATGGACGATTCTGCACCTTGGTTTTAAGATCCAATACCGAAGTTTAATGCCAATGCAGGAGGTAGTGCTCCTTTTATGTACCAAGGTGGAAAGTCGGGGTGTGGAGGTTGGCGTGGTGGACGGGCTATGAGCCTGTCTGAGTTTCCTGAAGGAGTTAGCATCCCGTCACAGACCTGCAATCAATGATAGCTTTTTAATTATCCATAACGACAAGTTAGTTTCATCTGCTATAAGTACAGCAGACAAAGCAACTCTTCTTCGTGTCGTATGGATGTCGCCATTTTGATTTGAGTCTTAGTGCACATCGTCGATGGCGATCTGCTGCATGGGTATGGAATGCATTCTCCAAGTGGAGTATAAAAGAAAAAACAACTATGTGTTCATGGCTTCTGCAACTGTCCATGTACACGTGTGCAAGCCAGTATAACCGAGGCCTTGAAATAAAACTTATGGACTGATTAGAAGGTACAAGAACAACGACCTTGACATTTACTTGCCTTTGAATCCCTCAATTATCTTTGTTTTTGTTTTTTTTTTACCATTTTTTGCCACATTGGTGCGTGTACTACATGTATTTATGACATATCCAACGATACATGAAGGCAGTGTTAGGTTGTCATCAATAACCAGCAGCTCAGGTCATTACTAATGATGAAGTTGTTGTTGCATGGAGTTGTGGCGTTTTACACAATCCTAGCTTATTGTTAAACCAGAGTTTGCTGTTAGGCGACCTCTAGTGGACACAGTAATCATTACCTGAGCAAACCAGGAAGTTAGGTGACATTTTACAGAGCGACAAAGTCCGTGTCTGAAGGAGGTTGGGGTGGATGGACGGGTCAACAAAATGTAAGACTTTCGCACTGCTGTTTGTTCCCCATGTCGAAAAACCAATGGTCAGCCCTGTTTCTTTTATAACCACGTTTACTCACGTTACCATGACAACAATGGTCTGCTACGCCTGTCGCTGGTATGCCCCTATAGCTCATATGCGAGGACAAGGACAAATGACCTCTATGGACGTTTAGGTTGGAGGACTTGTTCTACACTCACATAAGAAAAAGAAAATAAGCCATTTGTCAGCGCTCCCGTCTGGGGCTGTTACTTGGCAGCCATCTTAGCTCTCCGCTGTCAATCTTGTGCTGCATTATTTCATTTGTGGGACGTGAAATATCCAGAGTAAAAAGCAGCTCCGTGCACAATGAATGAACAGCTTAATTAACAAGCAGGCGAATTGCAATCAATAAAGGAATAAGTAGGCGAGCTTGTAGGCAGGAAAATAAATGCAAACGGAACCTGATTTCCTTCTTTTTATTGTTATCTTATTTTTCCTATTTCCTTTGAATGTGAATGAAGTCATTTGAACCGGCCCCCAGGCCGAGCGTGGGCCCAGTCTGCCGTACCAGCCCAACGCTGGGATTCATTGGAGCAGAGCAAATTTGTTTGTCTCTGTGTTTGTTTGTCTCTGTGTTTGTTTCTCTCATTGTTTGTGTTTATACACATTTCTGTTGATGGCCTTTCTCAAGTGTTTCTCTGACTCTGGCAATTTTCTGCCTGGTCGCCCCTAATGCGCCTCTCTGTTTATCTGCTGTCATAATACAGCTGATTTATATATATTTACATACCCAGGAAGTGACAGCAGAGACTTATATTGACTTTAAGAGGGCAAGAATCATATATTAGTGGTTATCTGTTTACACACACACAGGGAGGAGAAGGTGTATTTTTGTGATTTACCTGTGGCACAGATTTCGCAGATGCTATGAATTTTATCAGATATGAAGTGAAGTCAGCCTCAAGAAATATGACAAATACCTTTGGGAAGATAACCAGTGTAGTGTGAATTCAATCACTTTGCCAACCGACTGCTAATGACACAGGGGAAACTTTTTCAGGCAGCGGAGATGGGCAATATTGCTTTCAGCAGGGGCTACGGACTGGCAAATTGGAACAAAATCAAGGCTAGGGGAGATAAATGTGTGATGACAAAACTGCTGCTGCTCTGTTCAAGTGTACATATGCATCTCTTCAAAATGTTACCTATTCAATGACAGAGAGAGAGAGAGAGAGAGAGAGAGAGAGAGAGAGAGAGAGAGAGAGAGAGAGAGAGAGAGACAGCATGAGGACACACATGCATCCATCCCAAAAGCCCAAACTGTCACTTCATTGTCTGCTACGGTAATAACAATGATCCATGTAAAGGATGTGGAGATGACACTGGTATGTGTGTGTGTGTGTGTGTGTGTGTGTGTGTGTGTGTGTGTGTGTGTGTCTGTGTGTGTGTGTGTGTGTGTGTGTGTCAATGTATCAAAATTCAGCAAAACCCCACCGACATTCAAAGTGTCTTGGTAACCATGGCAACGCATGCAACACACACACACACACACACACACACACACAAAAGTACATCAGAAGGAAAGAAGAGAGGAGAAAACTAAAATGAAAGGCTGAATTGTTGTGGCTCTCCAAAGGAGATGGAGATGGATGTCAGCATGGTGTGTTTACAGGAGGGAGTAGCATGTGATGACATACACACAGACACACACACACACACACGCTTGCACAAATGACATAAAATTACTGTCCTATTTGTAGATTATTTGATAGATATACTGGGACACACATGGTCTTGAATAAACATATGGATGGTTATACGCACACACAAATAGCTAGAGGCAGGTGGAGTGAAGGTGGTCGGGCGTTGTGAAAACACAGAACTTCATTTGTGTTTGTCAGTGTGAATTTTCTGTGCGTGTGTTAGAGTCAGAGACTTCAGCGTAGACGGAGGAACTGTGAAAGCCCGGCATGTCGTGGATGGATGTGGGTTTTCATGCAAATATAACATTTGGGACAGTAGCACTCGCCTCCATTTGCATACTCATTCACCCTGCCTTGTTTATAAGTGAATAAATCCAGCACTGCTTGGAGTACAACAGCTGCTGCTGGGCCACTCACAGCAGCACTCATTCATACACACACACACACATACACACACTCAAATGGTGCACAGGTCCCAGCTGCACCCTTGGTGTTACTATGCCACTATACATGCTTGTGTGTGTCAATGTGTGTGTGCGTGTGTGCCTGCATTAATACTTGTAAATGTATTCATGTGTTGCTCTGTATTTTGGTGCTTCTAAATCTGCGTTTCTTTGTGTGCAAGTGTTTGTGAAAACATGTTTAACCACATGTGCACACGTATCTTTGTGTGTGATTTTGTTTTGTTGTGTGTGTGTGTGTGTGTGTGTGTGTGTGTGTGTGTGTGTGTGTGTGTGTGTGTGTGTGTGTGTGCTTATACCCTCACCTCAGAGGTGTTGACTCGTCCCTCCTGGAAGGAGCAATCGCTGGCGTCCTGTGTGCACATGTGTCGATATTTGCACCAGTAACAGGGGAAGTTTCCATTGACACAGGACAGGCACCTGGAGTGAGTGAGAAAGAGGAGAGGGGGTTTTAAAACTTAACATAACCAATAATCACTTTCAATAATCGCAATCATTTAAAAAAAAACTGTGTCCTGTAGTGTGGCGTCATTTCCTTGAAGTTTCTTTGTATTCCAAATAAAAAGAAAGGAAACTAAATTAAACATCTTGTAAGACCTGTAATATATATATATATATTTATATATATATATGTGTGTGTATATGTATATATAAAAGCTTCCATGACACCTGAAAATGTTGAAGTAAATTGTCACAGGGCAAGAGAGAAGCCAGAGTAGAGGAAGCGGAGAGGAGAGGGGCGTGCTGCGGAGAATGCAGCTATTTCGTTTTCCCGTCTGATGGACAATGAATGATAAACTTCACCCCTGGTGTGTTTGGATTTAGTTTTTGTCTGTAATTGACTGAGGTCAGTGCACCATTGTGGACACGGACTGAAGAGGACCGGAGTGGACTGACGTGACTGTGTGTAGTCAAGTGAGCAACAGTGTTTGGAAAGCTAGTTCCTTTTCTTGTTGATCGGCAACTGAAGATGTTCCTCTTATGTATGGTCTGATAATAGTAGCTGGTATACAGCCATAGCAGCAGTTATATGATGCCTCCTAAGGCAATGTGGTTGTTTTTTTTTTTTTATTTAAAGACACAGCTTTAAACAGCTAATTGTAAAACATAAAATCATATCTGAACTTTATGAAGCATAATTTCCATGAGACTAAGTATAAATAGTAAAGAGTAAATATAAACACTCAATAAAGTAAGAAATCCAACCTCTCAGTATTATTATTACTAAGTACAAAATAAAACGACCATGCTCCCTTCTCACATTTGTAGCTCTAATCTTCTTTGGCATCCAAGCAGTCGGTTTACTTCTTAAAACAAATGAGTAATGTAGCATGAACCTGCATCAGAAAAATTCTGCTGCATGTGTTGGGGATTTGTAACTGTTTAAATGTCAACCACATTCACTGCTTCAAAAGGAAAATGTGTAGCAACATTTAGAAGACAAACACAGACATCATCAAGAATTTCCTAAATTTGAGATTTAAAATTGCTCGCTATAATTAGCATAAAATACACCGATGGAAACGCAGCCACCACAACCTGAATTCATCATAGATTAGGTACGATATGCTGAGGGAGAGCTGTTGCCAAGCTAAATACGGAACGAGTGGAAACACAGATCAAAAGAGAACCTTCAACGGGGGACGCGTATCACAGGCTGACAGGCCGAGCATGGACATGCATCACCGTATTCGCATGGCATCAAATGTTTATGGTAAATCAGGTTTGAATGACAAGTGTAACTGTGGCCTCGTGCATTAAGACTTTACTCCAGCTGTCAGCGAGGCCGAGGCGGACGCTGAAAACACCCGAGAGAGAGCAGGAAAGAATCCTTGGTGATCCACTCCTCTCCTTTTATTCTCCATGCTTGGAGGCTTACAGTGAACTAAGCTGGCAGACCAAGATAAGCCTGTTTTTAAATAACATTTGTTTTGTTTTTTTTCTTCAGAGTTGAGGAAGAAAAATGAAAATATACACATTCAAACAGACATAGCCAGAGAAAAGCAAGGATCTCGTGGCTTGTACCACAAAAAAAAGCAGTGGAAAAAAAGAGTGTGTAAAAATGCAAAGGTTAGTTCAGGTTTCTACCTTGTTTATGTGGGAACTTAAATTAAGTTGCTCCATTTGGCAAAGTGTTGTTTACATGATGAAAAGGGAGAAACAGAAGTTCATTCCTGTCCACATCTTCTGCACGAACTTGATATTATTTGTTGTACTCAAATTGTCTGCTTGATCACAATTTCCTCAAGTGTTTTCACACTAAGCTTTCATTGTCAATCATCTGACGCCAAAAGGAACAAACAGGAAGTCTCAACTTACCGACATTTATTATCATATTCTTGTCATTTTAATCTAGAGTCTGATCTTAAAATCAAGTTGGTTTAAAAAACGAGTTAAAACAATAATTACAGTGACTGACACAAGAACATGTCTGAAGCAAGTCCTGGCTCTGTCGTCCTTGCACCACTTCTGGACCGAAATTTCACTTAACTGGCTTAAGAAAAAGCAAGCTCTAATTACATGTCAGTCCTCTTTTACATTTGCTGTCACTGTACTCAATCAGACCTCCAACAGCACAACCCCCACACACCCCAGTCCCTGCTCTCCCACTCACATCCGCCCTAGAAACTGACTGGGAACCTGTGGGGTCCATCATTCAGTTATCACTCTGCAGAGTTTTTTTTCACACTTTCATTGCTGACTGTATGACATGTTAATACTGTACTTGGCAGTCCTCATTGTACTAATGCCTTGTTACATTTTTTTGGATGAAAAGGATATTTACTTCCAATAAGTTAAAATCTCTGAAAATTGGCTTTTGGTTTTAATGACAACTTGTACTTGGAAAATGGAGCTACTGTGAACCTCTAATGAAAATGTTTTTTTTTTTGGTGAAATCATCAAATGGGATTCCTCAAGAATCTACTTCACACCTTTACTTACACCTTCATTAATTCATTTTTTCCTCCTAACATTAAAGGAATTAATGAAGCAGGTTCTCTGCCAGCTGACCCCTTGCTTGGTTTGACATTTCGGGAAATACAGTTATTGTCTTTCTTGTCAAGAGGGAGATAAGAGGATCAATACCACTTCCATGTTTGTAGGCTAAATATCAAGCTACAAGACGTTGTTTGCTTAGCTTAGCATGTGTGGAAGCAGAGGGAAAACAGTTAGGGTGACTCTGAAATATAAGGTGTATAAATAATAAACATGTGCCCATGTTAGGCTTTCATGTCATTTGATTAGTCCATTGTTGAACCACTGTGCTGTACCACTGTATGCTAGTTTTCCAGCTGAAGACAGAGTGAATATTTGAGTTACATTTCTCAGGTGGCCAATATCATGACTGAATGCTGCTGTCTGCCGGGTGTGTAAATGGGCAGTTCTTTGCTAACACGTTGGCCAACTTTAAAAGAGCTATTTGTAAGTTTTGCTATTTTGCTTAATAACCAACGCTAGCATTAACAGCTGTTTACCTACCTGTCTAGAAGAAATGTTGCAAGTTCAGCATCAAACTTAATTCCTTTACTCGCCAAGAGCTGTCTCCAGCCGTGGAAAGCAACACCAATGTTAACTCTTTTACTGCCCATCTTGTCACTTTCTGATAGCGACTCACTGTAGCCTCCAATCTGCCCTGAAGGCGTAGCACTGCTCAGAGGGCGTATTATAACCCCTTGACTTGTAAAAGGAACTATGGCCAAAGTTCTTGTCAAGCGACAATCACCACCACCTGTTTCCGACAACAGACCACTTTCGGCGGCAGAGAAAACTTATTAGCCCCTTTAAAGCTGCATGACCTTTCTTTGCAACCGGAGCCTAAATCCATACAGTGACACACATAGGGCCTACTGCTACATTACTACTACACAAATGTACAAGTTGTTGACGTTACCTTCTCAGGGACAGTTAGAAAGTAGTAATCCGGTCTGTATCCAGTTCAGAAAAGGGCTCCTACATCACAATACCACCTTCACTGTTTTGACTGACAAGTGATCTCTGCCAAGTCTAGTCCAAAAACACCACAGTAATGAATCACCATGGGGGTTTAAAATCAGGTCCTGCAAACAGAGGGACAACTGCTCAGCTCACAATGCCACCCTGCTGCCGGAAAGACTAGCTTTAAATTGGATTTCAGTCTAATCCTTGCCCTGTCTTTGTCCCCCTGTCCTTGGTTTATTCAGATTTTCGAGGGTTGACTTCTAAATTGCCTGTATTGGAGTGACAGAGTGACAGAGGGGTCTTCATAAAGCCAGTGATAAGCTAGTCAGACAAGACTGAACTGCAGTGTGAGCTTTATAATCAATGCCAGTGGATTTCCATCGGAAGAAAGGTGGACCGAGGTTATGCTAACAGTCTGATGTTTGTTAGTAGAGCTGGTGAGCCAGTTCTTCCTCACTATTAACCCCAGGGGTTTATCGATTTCTTGTTGCAGGGACATGTTCGCACACATTCACAGTGGTGTGTATGCACGCTCATGTCCGCAATAACACACACTCACAGAGTGAAACACACTAATACACACACAAGCTAGCTGTCACCCATGTTGACATCTTGGCATTCCTTTGGGTCACCTGGGCAGTGGAGACTTGTTCTACAGTAGAGCTGTCAATGCCTGGACAACTGGCTTGGGTAAGTGGCTGCGCTGCTGCAATGTAGTCAATAAAATCCCCTGCTATTTAACAAGTCCTAGCAACAGAGCCGGGTCAAACGCCTTTTCATCTTCTCACAGCTTTTGTTCTAGCGAGGCCGGATCGATGGAACAAAGCTGTTGATATGCGAGCAATGGACCCGCACAAACGTATATGAATGGAGGGAACGATCATATGCTCATTTAATTCTGGTCAATGTGGATACAGGCACAGATAAAGCAGCAAGTCCTAATTAAGAGGTTAGTCTTTTATCTAACGCTCAGTAAAACATGCCAACATGTGTCGACCCAAATTAAATAAGCCGGTTACACATTTTAAGGCAAAAATCATAAAGCTTCAATACCTAATCAGTACTTGAAGCAGCTATAAGCTGAAATTCTGATTAAAACCTCTGATCATATCTCCCAGATTTGTTTCATGTGAACAGTGTTTAGAAGACAGATAAGACTGACTGTGCAATGTTATCTATAAGTAGCCCCCTTTGTGTTTTATCCAATAAAGCTCCAAAGAGAGCAGCAATAGAAAGATGCATACATCATTAAAGTATGATGCAGATGAGCCAAATAATCAAACATCAAATCAACAGGGGACTCATTACAGGATATTATTTCATCTCATCACAGTGACGTCCGACAGCAGAAAGTCTGCGAGTCTCAACCCTCAGTTTAATTAAAGCGGGTCACATTCACTGAAAATTGGACCAACAACGATTGCCACAAAATCAACATCAACAAACAGAAGTGTTTCTAACGAGATGATGGCTGGTCTCTGAACGGGAGCAACAGCAAACGGGCAGCCTGGAAATGAGAGCCCTTCCTGGGGGCCGGAGCGTGGGCTGGTCCCCTCCCATGAGTGCTTCTTTTCACTGCATAGATTTCAGCCCCTTTCATATTGTAATGGTCATGGTGGCCTGAGGCTGGGGCGCAAACCTTTTAGCTGTGTGGGACGCATTATTTCTGACACAATAGGCACAATCTCTCTCTTGTTCGCTAACACTCTGCTTTATATCTCTCTTTCCCTCTTCATGCCTCCTTCTTCTCGGTTGTCTTTTTCCCTCTCAAGCTCTCAGGGAATGCAAGTTTTCTTCCTTGTCCCACTCTTCCCTCCAGCGCTCTCCCTCCTGTTTGTTTCTCTTCCTCTCTTTAAAGATGAATTATTCCTCCGCCCGCATGCTGAATTAAACTATTCCAAACCTCTTTTTTAATGCAAATTTCTAATATTGTAACAGCGTATGTAAATAGCTTGCAGTGCAATTTGCGGTGCCAAGTCTGTGCCTTCTGTCTCTACATGCTCCTTCTGACTGTGTGTGCACCTGTTTGTGTGTGTTTGCATGAGAATGTGTGTGGATGGTGATGCCGGTGCTGGATCCACCATTAGGCTGTATTAAGTTGCACACCAGTCTGTCTCGGCGCTTGCCTGCAGGCTGCTCTGCTTGTGCATCTGTGCTGATGCTGTACGTCTGTGCGTCTGCTGTTGCAGGGTCTGAGCTACACTTTCACACCCACCCCACCGCGCCTACGCGGAGAACTCCATTATCTGCCACTGAACATTGCGACTCCTGCGCTCGGCTTTCTACGCGCGGGGTCAAAGATTTAGAGGTGAAAGGTGACGGCAGAGGGGGAGTAGTGTATAATATGTGAGTTTATGTTACAGCTGCTGCGGTAATAACTGCACTGTAGCTGTACAGTCCTGCAGGGTCCTGAGGGGGCCAGCCAAGCCAACATCAAAGGCTTAAACAGCAGTGTGCCTGTTTATGCAGCAACGGGAGGAGGGCAAGGTGGGCTGGCTAATCAGAGGTACAGAGCATAAACACACACACACACACACACACACACACACACACACACACACACACACACACACACACACACACTGAAACACCTCCTACATGCACACAAATATGCACAGACACTACAGTGCTAACTCATAGACCGAAAACTCGTGTTCACGCACACACATTTCACAAAATGAATCAGAGCCATTGAACTAGGCCTGGAGGCCCCGAGAAGTGGCCCAGGTGAGCTCTCTCCCTCTCTCCAAGCCCACTCCATTATGACCATCACCACACAGGCACCCCAGCTAGAGCTAATTAACGGCCTATTACTATGCAGATATATGCAGGGCCAAGAGCAGAGGCAGGCAATAAATGGGCTTGATGAACGATAGAGGGGCAAGTAGAGGGAAAAGGGTGGAGGGGAGGATAGAGTGGGCTAAGAGCAGTGGGGGGGAGTGGTAAAGTGAGGAATGGGAGAGAAGAAAAAGTAAGAGAAGGTGGGAAGGCAGAGAAGGAGAAGAGAGCCACGGGGCTAGAGGGAGGGAGTCAGGGAAGGATGGTGACATGAAAGACAGTGAAAGCAGGACAAGTGCACTTTCCACTGCTAATTACAGGAATCAGGATAATACTGGTGATCAGGAATTAACGCTGCTTGTCATAGTTAGCAGTTTAGAGTTTTAAACTCTCAGTGTGGGAACTTTTCCAGCCATCCTTCATTAAAACTGAGGGACTTTATCGGTGTTTTGAAGAGAAGAAGCAGAGGCTAAATGCAGCTCCTGAGCCCATAGTGTTTTAAATTCATTATTGTCTGTCTGTTGTCCTAATCTGTGTGGTTCTTCAGATGTTGAAATATGAAAAACATCAACTCAAACAAGACGAAAAAGGACTTTGAAGACAGTTTTTAAGTCCTTACCTACTATTTGGATTTTACTTTTACTACTACTATTCTGTTTTACAAGAAACAAAGAAAATGAAAAGAAAAAAAAAAAAGACAGAAAGACAGACAGAACAATTCAGGAATAAATGGACAAAAAAATGTCCAATCAGTCTTTGGACATAGTGTATTGTATGTCACATTTCCACAGACAGGAAAAAAAGAGAAACCATTCAGTAGACATATTTACTAGTGACAGTCATTCTCAGGATTCTCTTTTTTTATTTTATGTTTTCAAATGATGTAAACATTAGGTGAGGAAATAATGCTGTCATCAATCTACGTTTGGAAAGAGAAGAAGAGATCCACTTTGCGTTTGCCACAGATTCATTTTTATTTGGGGTGTATCAACACAATGCAGACACCTAAGTGTGAGATCCGAGTCTGCGGCAGGTGGAACAGACAGAGAGAGAGAGAGAGAGAGAGAGAGAGAAAGAGAGAGAGAGAGAGAGAGAGAGAGAGACAGAGAGACAGAGAGACAGAGAGAGAGAGAGAGAAAATCCCACTCAGCGACTTCAGCGGATGAGCCAAGAGTCATTTAGGGAATGACATTTTATTTATTTTCATTTAACCTTTATTTAACAAGGCAGGTCAATTAAAGAACAACATTCTTCATTCATTATCAGGCTGATCTCACTGCTGTGCGGCCTCTCTCTCTCTCCCTCCACTCCCTCCCTCCTCTGTTTGGAGAAGTTCAACGTAAAAATCTTTGTCACTAAAAGACAAAACCACCAATAAGGCTGAACAGTGTTGCAGAAAAATATTTGCAATTTGTGATTTCTCTGACTAATGTTAGAGTTGAAACTCTAAGCCTGTTTGTAGTCTATTACATAACATCGAATCAGAGAAGTCTGAATCGAGCACAATCACAAATGTATCTTGTGTGTACATATAAATATTCAGTCTTATTTCAGTTAGTCCTCCATTAAAAAATCTGTACAAGTTTTTTTTTTAAACGCTAATTTGTCAAAACCTATTATTGTACATGATTTGCTGATCAGTGTCTTCGGATAATGTAGTAGCTCTGAATAGCTTTGATATCTGACTGACAACCACTGTTGATGCTGTTGGCAACTCTGCATTTGAGCTAACGTTAGCGGAGCCAACTTAGCAATTTTCTTACTCGATTTGGCAACTTTTAAGACCCTTTTTGCTTTTTTTTTTTTTTTTTTTAAGAGGCTAGCAAAAAATCCACCCACTTTTTGTGCTGACATGAGCCTCTCTCTGCCAATGAATATATAATTTGACAATTTACCTCCATTTTATTCCTTCATTCTCAGTTGTCTTTTCCCTCTTTAGCTCTCAGGGAATGTATGTTTTATTCCTCCTCCTGCACACTCTATGAAACTATTCCAAACCTCTTTTTTAATGCAAATTTCTAATATTGTAAGAGCAAATGTAAATGGCTTGCAGTGTTATTCATTCATTCATTCTAGTTCACGATAAAGTGAGTTAAGCTTTGACTTCATTTTGTAAAGATCTTTTAAATCTTGTACACTCTTTATGTCGTACAAATTATGTGCACAACATGAGTTTCCTGAGTTTCCCTCTCAATAGAAAAAACTGAGATCCAGCTGAGAGTTGTTCTTACAGCCAGTAAAACAGCTTCCACCTCTATAACTCTTTTTAAGATATGTTACTGTACAAATAATATTTAATTAACTGAAGTAATATTGCAGATGTTAAAAAAGACTTAAGCCTATGATTGAGTACAATTTAGATCAATTTAAATGAACTACTCTCTTCAAAAAATTAGAATAAAGAAGACTCTGTGTGTGTGTGTGTGTGTGTGTGTGTGTGTGTGTGTGTGTGTGTGTGTGTGTGTGTGTGTGTGTGTGTGGTCTCTCTTTCCTTCCTCACTTGCTCGTCTTTGTTAAATAAGAGATTCAGTCGCACACAAAAACAAAAAAATACCTAAAAACAATTTTCAAACCAGTGGTGACTCACTCAGTACTTTATTTACATTAGTGTTAAAATTCATTTCTAAGGAACACAGCTGACTCGTTTAAGCCTCCATAGCTTGGTTGCCCTTCCAGGTCTTGCATGGTTGGAAATCAATTTATTATTTCAGTCACCAGTGGTCCCTTCATTGCTTGAGATTTAATTAAGTAATTGATTTGTTAAAAAGCTTGAATACATTGAATAATGAATTAGCAGAGGTTGCACACTCTTCTCTCCATTTCCCATTATAGGAGTTATTTTCAAGCCAATATTTTACCACTATTACTTTTGGTAAAGAACCACAATCAGCCGTCTATTGATCACCGCTTTCCACCGATCTGCAACTTACTGCGTGTGTAATATCACAGTGTATTCAAAATAGCGTTCAAGCTGTTTAACTACAAGAAAATGACATTTAAGCAACGAGAATTTTTCTCTTCCACTTCTAGTCCTACTGTATTTGTACTTAGCAAAAAACTTTTAATTTTGAAATTGGAAAAAAAACAACAACTTACGATTGGTGGACGCTGCAGTTGTAGAACACAAAGTCCACGCTGGCAAACTTCTTTCCCGTCTCCTTCGACTTCAGATACAACTTTATTACACGTTGATCACCTACGAGGAGACACAAAACATCCAATTATCAGTACTCTTTTGTCTACAGTCTTCCTGTGCTTCCATAGTGCACAACTGATAATATCATATACAGTTAGTGTGTGGCCAATCCAATGTATTCTGAAGTGTTAACAGGTTAATTTTATGTGTTTCTTATCAATTCCTGCTTAGCTGGTATTCTTTTTACAGAAAGTCTAACTTGCAGACCACCAGGACTCATTCATTGCCACAGATATACGGAGTCCCAAAGTAATAGCAATAAATGAATAAGTAATTATAAAACAGTAATATGAGCAAATTGCTTTGTCACATTTCATGCCAGTGGTGTTGTCGCCCTCTCACCTCTCAGCCTATCACGTGGCTCCTGCCTCTTCAGCTAGCAGTGGTGACTGTCACATCACCACTGTCATAATATGTTAATGTTCAGCATTAAATAAATCAGTGTGAAATAAAAGTGTTACAAGCAGAAAAGAGGCCAAATGTCTATTTTTATGAGCGATAGGAAAAAAAGAGACTCATAATAATGAGCCGAGTTTTATACATTTTACACAATTTATTCTTATTAATATTTACTTCATAATGTTTTTTATTTATCTAATATTAAACACTTTGGGATTCTACAGATTGTGCTGGTTTTGAATTTATTCACATTTCCTTCAGGTAGTCAGATATCTGGGAACTTTCTTTTTTTTTTTTTTTTTTTACCCTGGTCTCGTGTGATGGGGGCAACGTCTTTTGTAGAGGGGGACAGGCAGAAGATGCGTCCACCGTAGATGCGTCCTTCCGTCTCTACATAGTCCTCAAAGGAGCAGTTGACTCCAGCAGACAGACTGGGCACATTCTGGGTCTGAAGCACCAACTAGGAGGAGGAGGAGGGAAAGCAGCAAGGTGAGGGACAACATAAATTTACACTGATATACTTCAATAGTAATGCAATAAACAAGATTTCTACTGCCCCACAGCAAAAAAATGCTGCTCAGATATTTGGCTCAGAACTCACTTGTCAGCTCGTTCTCAAAATGATGGACAGATTGCCAGTGATGACACAAGAACAAGCTTTATTTAATCTCATTTCACATCTATCTTGCTCACTTCTCCCGTCCGTCTTTCTTTCTCCCACTTCCCTGTCACACACATACACACCAACACAATACACACGCTCTGACACATCTAAACATGCATACACTAACACACCAACACACTGTACCTGCACTTCTGACATGGTGACGGAGACGGTGTCAGGTTGGACGGAGAGCCGGACGCACTGCTCCACTCTGGTAGTGAAGCGCTGCGGTTCCTCCGCTCGCTCACAGTGATCCTTCCTCGAACATCTGGAGAAGGAGGACGCACCACAGTCACGTCTCAGTTCAAAAGCCTCGGAGATAATGTTTCATTCAGATCACACCAATCCTGGTACTGGTTGTCCTTTTTTTTTTTTTTTTTAGGTAAAATACATGTTGATCAGTGTTTGGTCAAAATGTGGTGCTGGCAGCCTCAGCTGTTTCTCACCTCACCTTATATTCCGGGCTGTTCAGAGTGCAGGCATCACTGAATTAGTGATGTACGGTATTTATTGACAAACTCAAGGATGCTGGTTTCAGGCAGAGATTCTGTTTATTGGTGGGTGTAGGGATGCATGGAAATTAGAGGTAAATTAGGAAGGTACGGGAGACTGAGGATGTTTGCAACACTTGCATTTTTCAAGACTATTTGGACTAGACCAACCAAACTTTAATATATTAAACTTACATCTGTCTGCTAATTACCCATACCGCTTAAAGACGATTACACATGATGTATCATTCATCATTGATCAGTTGCACCACGGATCAGGGACAGTTGCAACATATTAAAAACACATGAAATTTCACTGATTAACTTTTGCTCTTTGTCTCAATAAGGAGGATGAGGAGAACATGAGACTAAATAATTCCAAAAATAAACTTGTTTGTATTTTCTTATGCGTCAAAATTATCAATTATTGCTGCATCTGTAGTGCTACTGGAAAATATTACCTGCATATATGTTGCCTACTTCAAACTAAAAGAGTTTTTTCTTTTTTTTTAAATACTGTTGTGTGGTCAGTTTTGATTTATCTTGGAGACAGTTACAACAACTCCCCCATTCTCCCCTACATATGAACAACCTATGCACTCAAAGGGCTCAACATAGAGGTGAGTGGAATATATTTTGTTAATGGTGACATGATTCAATGGCGTTGGTTCTTTGGATCTTGACATTTGGTATCCTGACAACAATATGTACTTGTAGTCATAATTAATCTATAGTTTATTAATAGTAATAAATAATTCTAAATTCTGTCAGTCTTAATAACAGATAAATTAAAAAAAAAAAAAATCATGGTTTAGTGCAGTCAAACATGGAGCCCAGTATGCAAGTGGAGTGAGAAAACAAATAGAATATTTCATTAGTTCAGGTGGAGCACAGAAGTTGGACTCGTATTACCTGATTGGCACCAGCTGCTCGTTCATGCTTTTACCATCATCAGCTGCTTGTAATGACTAGTAACGTCCATTCATATTAATACAGGTGGTAATACCAACAATTGTGGGTGAGTACTCTGCTGATACCTCCATGCCCACCCCATCTGCTGCCACAGCTTTCTCCACCAGCCCAACCCCCCTCCTTATGTGCTAAGCCTTTGGTATTGTTGACTTCACTAAAGTACGAGTGCTGCGTGTTTGTGAAAATGATTCCTTCAAGAGCAGATTTTTTTTCCATCATAACTAACTATATAATTTTGTATAATCCTTAATGCAATGTCTCTCACTGAATTAGCAGAATACATTTATGGAATGCAGCTACTGACAATATCAATATCAATACCCTGAGCATCAATTACATCTTTAGGAAATTCAGTTTGTCCAACTTGATGCTGATTGGAGCGTAAAGAGTCAGTATGAGTGTGAGAACTGTAAAACAAAGACCAAAGGAACTTCTGAGCTAAGCTGTTTTTATTTTTCATGTACACGTGAGTAAATGTATATGTATATCTTTCTCTGACTTCTTGGGAAACATATCTCTTAGATAAGCAGGCGAACTGTGTGTTCAAACACTTAACACACATGCACTTCCAAACAGGTTCACATAATTGCCTAGTTACTGTGAATTGATGGGAATTCCTCAACTTTGTTCATCGCAGAAACAGATTAGAATTAACCGCAGAGCACCCGCTTACCGTAACCACTGAGACTACTGCCTGGAATCAACATAGTGAAGAGTGGATGCACTTACACATTATGCAGCACACACCAGCCACAGTGAGGGTCTCCTGATCCCAGACAAGCTCCACAGGAGGTGTACTGCTCGCAGCTCTCCACCGGTACACGTGTATCCTGGAAAATACACACACACACACACACACACACCTGGTTAATGTTGCACACAAATCCTGTGTACACCACCTTCAAACAGCTTATACCATAATATAGGCCTAGTATAAACAGGATCTACCGGAGGTGTCCTGTGCCTGGAACATGAGATTAAAGGAACAAGCCCACTGTGACTATCAGAGATAAACAGCTCTGGAGGTGCTGCTTACAAACTCCACACCGCTGCATACAAGGCGAGCTAGATGGGGGGGGGAAGTCGAGGTTTAAACACATGCAAACACACACATGGGTTAAGATTACACCCTCTGACAAACCTCTCTCTGTAATATACGGTGTAATGCCCACAGTTCTCCAGTGGATCAGGGCAAGCTGATGCAAGACAGCAGTTTATTTTGAAAGATACTAAACAGGATCTAGAAAAAGTAAATTAATCAGGATTCTACACTGAAAACAATCCTAAATGTCTGGACAACGCCCTTTCAAATTAAAACAGACTGGACCTTTTATTCACTCATTTACTTAACAGATTAACAGCCATATACAGTCCTCTTATTTTCCTAGGATACTGTATGTACTGATAATGTTTCCCTTGTTGCATGTTGAAGAATTTTGAATTATATCTGATAATATGAAAACTGGATTACAAAGGAAAATTAACTTAACCGGTTTTACAAATCAACTCACTTGTAATGAGGAGTACTACTCAGCTTGTGATGTCATCAGGGTTATTCTGAGTTGAGCTTGAACACTACACATTTTTAGTCATGTTAGCATGTACGGATGGCAATGTCGGAATTATCCCAACAGCAATTAGCTACATGCTATGCCATGAAATTTTGTACAAACATTTGCATTTTCCCTCGAAGGATGCAGCCCACTGACTTTGGTGATTACCTAACTTCCTCCGGGACCACAACAATGTTGGCCACAAACATTCACGTTCACTACAGGATGAACTGTGAGAAAACATGATGGTTGACGCCTCAGTCTTTCATCTACCACCATTATCAGGTCATAATTCCAATGTGGACGACACTTCGGTTTAATATCTGCAAAACTAATGACATTCCAGTCAGCCTCATCTGTGGTGTGTGTTTAGTGCTAATTATCGAATGTTACCATGCTAACGCGCTAAATTAAAGATGCTGAACACGGTAAACATTATATCTGCTGAACATCGGCTTGTTTGCATTGTGATTTGCATGAGCTTGTTAGAATGCTGATATTAGCATTAAGCTCAAAGCTTCACAGAGCTGCTACTGGCAGTAGACTTCAGTATTGTGAACTAAAAAGCCTGAGTTACAAACATGGGGCATGGAGTTTGAATGATGTGAGCATTTACTAAGGAGGGACAGTGTAACGTAAAGACAAAAAAAAAAAGTTTCATTATGGGAAGTCTGGGATCCAGGATTTTTGAAGCTCAACCTGCACTCAGCACTAAAAATCAGGATAGCTCGGCCTCTGCTGCATCAGTTTTGCCAATTATTTTCTTAATCTGCCCCCTGCAGATCCCCCAAATTTATGGATGTGTGATAGAAAATGCAGGAGGATCCTTTGGAGGCCTCCTATGCAGCAAAAAAAAACCATTCTGTCAGGCTGTTTCGCCTTGACTTCACTATTATACTCTCAGATACATGATATCCCAACAAGTTCCAGCTTTAATTCAGATTTTAAATGAATAATAACATATGTTGTTTATAAAACCTCACAGCTGTCTAGAACAAACTCTATAAATCTTCAAAATCATACATTGAGAATGGCAATTTTCTGTATTATCAGTCATTAGAACATAAGAGGACTACAGTTGCTTAATGCCTGTGAATTCCTTGCAAAGAATATGCTATTGTACTTAACACCATTAAGATAAACATCGAGGATTACTCCTTTTGTCCGCTAAATCTCTACCCGCTGCCATCTGTGTGTCTGCATGACTAAGATAAGATGAAACTTTAATGATCTCTTTGGGGAAACCATAGAATTTGGGTATTAACAAGGACATCAAACAATGCTGTCCAAATTTACCTGTCTGTTAAACCGCTACCAAAGAAGATTGTGAACATCTTGAGACACGGTGAGACGGACGAGGGTTACCGTTTAAGAAGTCCATTTCCACAGATAGTTGTCTTTGCAGTTATCATTAAACAGACATGTTTTCTGCTGCTGTCTGCAGCTTCACCATCTGCCATCTGTCTGCACAATTACCAGGAAGCACAAGTTGAATTTCACTCAGGCTGTAGAATACTCTAAAGTCAGAACATTTTGAAATGCTTTAAGCATGGCTGTGCATACTGAAGTTTACTCTGCTCACTCTTAAATCTCCAAAATCTCCAGTGTACATTATCTGCATCCGTATGGCTTATCTCAACTTGCTGGATGCTGTTTGCCAGTGACTGGCAGACAGGAAACCGCCTCAGGCATACACACACACACACACGCAGAAACACACACACACACCAGCCCACACATTGGTGGAAAAAATTATTATTTGAAGCAAATTGAGAGTTTGAAACGAGTTTTCTGGGGCAGTTGTTAAATACTTAAATACATCGCTGACCACGCAAGACAAGTTCACACGCATGAGCACATGCAGGCACACACACCTCCAGCTGCATGTGTCAGGTGAAGTACGACATCAATAACACTGCAGATGCAGGGGGCACACCAGGTGAGCTGGAAGGTGGTGAGGGTGAATTCTAATGGAAGCTGCAGGCGCAGCAGCATAGAAACCTTCAAAGAGGAAACTCTTCCTTCGTGTACTTTAAAAAAAAAAAAAAAAAAAAATTCTTAAACTTCAAACAGTAAATCAGGCTCTTTTCATGCCTCTTGCCTGAACAACTGCTGCATGATTAATCAGATGCATATGATGGTTTTCATGTCACTGTGTTCTTTAAAAATGTCCAGTAACCTTTTGTGTCACCCAAACTCATCATCTTCTCCATTCCCTGTTTGTCCTCTAATTCCACCCTCCACTTCCCAAGCTCCTCCCTCCATCAGATGACTCCCACTGATGCTGCCACCCTCCTGCGGAGAACTCTGCTAGGACCTGATCGAGTTGTGGCTCAGTGTGAGCAGCCTGCATCAAAACTTTACATTCCAGGCAACGCTTTGCACTCCATTTGTGGCATGGTGAGACAGTTTGGTTTGTCTGTTAGGGTGCAAGTCAGGTTTCCCTTCTGACATGTACGATTTAGTAGCATTTGGGTCATAGTTGCAAAGAATGCACAACAAATTTAAAATCAGTATCAGATGTATGTTTGCACACAACAAGTCACAAAATCTTAGGTAGGTAAAAACACAGAAAGCATGCACTTTTTTGAAAACGAAGAAACTACCGACATATAATATGTATGTAAAGCAAGACGCAAAGTTCTACTGAATTCGATTTTTTTTTTTCTTTTTTACTCCAGACTGAAACAACTATTATATGGATTGCCATGATATTTTGCACAGACATTCATGGTCCCCATAGGATGAATCCTGACCACTTGAACCTTCCTTTGGCCCCAACATGAGGTTGGCATTTTTTTTTTTTTTTTTTTGTGAAATGTGTCTATATCTACCAAATGGATAGCCACAAAATTGCCAGACAATGGTTTTCCCCAGAGGATGAATCCCACTGACTCTGGTGATACCTAAATTATCACCAGCTCAAACATTTCACTGAGTGAAATATCTCAAGGTCTACGAGGCAGATTGCTATAATATTTTCTACAGGAATTCATGGTTCCCAGATGATGTATCGTAATGACTTTAATGATCCCCTGACTTTTCCTCTAGCCCCACCATGAGGTTAACATTTGTGGTTTTCAGTGAAATGTCTCATGGACACATTGCTATGAACTTTGGTTCAGACATTTGTTTTCTACTTAGAATGAAGAATAATAGCTCTGGTGATCCGCTGGCTTTTCATCCAGCTCCGTCATCAGGTCAAATTTTTAATTTGTCTCATACCTTGGCTTTAGGACCAAATACCTGCAAAACAATGACATCTCCGTCAGCCTCAGCTGAACTTTATGTCTAGGCTAGCGCTACTTAGCAAATGTTAGCATGCTGACGTGCTAAACTAAAATGGTAAACTAAAATAACATAATGACATCAGCATGATAGCGTTGTCATTATGAGCATGTCAGCTGACATTATTTAGCTCAAAGCACAGCTGTGCTTCTGTACAGCCTCACAGGGCTGTAAACTCATATTAGCGAAGTCATTCTAATACAGGTAAAGGAAATCCAAAACCAATGGTGATGGAGTTGTATTAGTAAAATTACACTGAATGAAACTGATATTATGATATTTTAGTAACTTTATTAACACAGGCCACCCATTCCAATATATTTTTCGGCACCTGTTACTTTTGTCCTTTTGTGGTAGGGATATTGTATGATACTAATATGATGCTATTTCCAGATACATCCCCTAGACAGCATTCATGCAAACAGCACAGAAGCCTGTTTTATCCTCACACTGTACGTCTCCTCTTATCTTATGGCAGATTCATAGCATGATAATAGTAACCTGTGTCTGATAACTATTATAATGCTACCATTACCAGGCACAGGCCTCTTACAGGACACCAAATAGCAGCAAATTGTAGTCATTACTTGCGCCTGGACAAATACCACGCTAGTAATACAGCCTATCTGATAGAGGGAGGAGGAAAAAAAAAAAAACATGTCATGCTCAAGCACAATAACCAGGGAGAGAAGTTTATTCAATGGGGTTTTGTGATAGTGGGGCGGATGATGTATTCCAATAGAACAGTTCAATTATTGAGTTTTAGAAAACAGATAATGGGATGGGAAACGAGAGATGCTCAGCCAAAGACTCTTTGTCTTACTGAGGTGACTGAGGAGCGCGTGTGTTTGTGTTTGTGTGTGTGTGTGTGTGTGTGTGTGTGTGTGTGTGTGTGTGTGTGTGTGTGTGAGAGTGTGTGTGTGAGACAGTAAGTAAGTGAGAATCACCTACTTATATTAAATATGGCATTTTCATCCCTGGCCTATTTG